AAAAATGCTTTGATGGAATTGTCGATATTGAGATGTAACCCGCGTAAAGAAGCAGAAATGAATTTTATTTGATGATTTTGAGTCAAATTGATAATTGGCAAACTTCAATAAAAATTTTATTACATACTCGTATATTGAATCAGTAATTTGTTCTGAAGAAAAAACTAAATTAATAAATATTATATTTAATTTTCCGTAGGGTAGTTATAGTAAGGTGCCGAAAATCGAAAATGAAAATTTTGCATTTCTCGACGTTTTGAAGGTTTCTGAACATTTTGGCATACCTCAAAAACTAAATGGATGTGTTTGTATGTTTTTTGTGTGTCCACATTTTTTCGTTCACGTTTTCGGGCGCACGGATCAACCGATTTGAATGGGTCCAAAAACATTCGATTCCTATTGATAGGGAGAGTGCTGATTAGTTTTTGGCAAAGGCAGGTCCAGCCGATACGGAGATAAAAAACAAAGAGTGCAAAAATAGAAATGACAGTTTTTGAGAAAATATAAGCATCCGATCCAGTTTCCTTTTCTTTTTAGGATCGCGCTCAGTAAAATCTATTTTTCACTATGGTATCAAATTATTCTTTTTTTTTCAGTTACAATTCGCGCATGTACGACCCCGAAGGAATGGAGCAGAGCAGGCATCAGGAGGAACAAGATTCGTATGAACAAGAGCAAGATCAGGACCAAGAATCCGAACAAGTGTCAGGAGAAGCACCGCATGCCATGTTCACCTTCCCTGATTTGCTGGCGCCCCCATCGGATACAGGAGAGCGTCAGCGTACGCGCCCCCGAGTCATCTATATGTAAGTAATTATATTCCAATACATACGACAGTCGGATAAATCTTGAATGGCATGGTATTAGTCGCAAAAAGCATAATTCGAGTACGATAAACCCTCTTATAACGCGGTAATATGAAAACCACACTGTAAGAAACTCTGATTTAACGTACAAACCGGTTGACTCAGTAGAGCGTTCTATAGAAAATGACGATCGTGTTGTATTTGAACCGCGTTACCATAGAAATTGAGAACTAGAGGCCTAAAGAACTAAAAATCACAATAACAAATTTAATTTTTCAATAATTTAACTCAGAGTAAAAAATTTTAAAGCAAAAGTTGATACACTGGTCGTAGTGAAAGAGTTAAAATTATAATTCAATTTGTGTTAAAAAAAATAATCACTTGAATTTAACAATATAATATATAATAGAGCGGGGCTTAAAGGTTCACGGGTAAAAATGACTACCACCAATATCCAATGGGTAGATAATTTTCGAAAAATAGAAAATAGAAGACAAAAATAGCTAATTTTTGTAAAACTGAAGATGGAAGTCCAAAACTTTAGTGTGAGATTCTATTTTAACACTTTGGTATTTTGTATACGAAAATTTTCCCATTCATAACCTTTTCTTTTATAAAAGCATACTTATTGTTCATACCATTCTCAGATATTTAATGAATCTTTGTAATTTTATCATCAAGTAATTGCGAAAACTCAATTATACCTTTATTTTTTTTTTAAATCCGTGACAAAAATTGCTTTTAGGAAAACCCAGAACACGAAGTGAAAATCTGGGACTATCCCGGACCATCCGGGGCGTATAGTCACCTTTCTCTATAGGCCCGCGTAACTTTCAAGTCACATTCCATTTTTTTAATTTTACCAAATAATTATAGCTTTTTTGTGAGATAAATCTTGATGCTATAACATTGTCACGTCAATATTTTTGACCTTTGGTAGTATTTTCAACTTAAAATATAATTTTAATACGAAGAAGTGCGAACATTATAGGCTGTTGAGGCTTGAAAATCACATGAGAATCACAAAATTTGTTTACAGATCACAGAGTTTTTTGTTTTTTTTTGCATATTTATAGGCTTATATTTATTGATTTTTTTGCATGTAAAACAAAAATTGGGCCCATAGATAGTTAACGCTGTGATAAACACCCAGGGAGATAAAAAAGATGATACTGAGATGACATAGTTTAAATAATTACTTAAAATATTCTAACCTGTTATTTCTGGCAATTAAATTTCCAGGGCTTCCAGAACTACGCTTCACGAATGTCCGACTAAATCATGAGTCTGCATTACATAATTTCGACGGTGTGAAAGAGTACACTAGACATCCAAAAATTTCCGCTGGAAAAACCATTTCTTCTGTAATTAGTACAAGAAAAATTTATATTAAAGAAAAATCATAGCCGTATGTATTTAAATGTCGTCAAATGACTTATGATATTCTTTATATCTGTTAATTGTTTGCTAAATGTTCTTTTCAAACGTTCGAATTCAAGGGTGTTTTA